TCTTTAGCTTGGCATCATTTATAACCTGAGTGTTTTGTTCATACTAAGGTTGGACATGGAAAACTACCTTTGTAAATGAAGAGAATCAAGAGAACATTTAAAGTTTTCACTATAGAATATAAAGTATTTAGTGTCTATAATTTTTAACATTGCTCACTCCTAAGGAAATTAAATTAATTTGGTTGATATTTAATAACAATTAGATGTTTATACTTTCTACCAGCTATGATAGTTTAATCTGCATAAAGACCTTTATGTTTAGTCTCTGCTACTGCCAATATCAGATTTTGTGTTCAAAGATAGCTCAGTGGTACACTCTTTGTAGCCATGTATATAAAGAATCTCAATAAAAAAAAAAACCCAACAAATCCACTTATCTAACATTTTCTTACTTTTCAATATTCTGTTACATGTTAAAAGTCTGATTTCTGTGTTTGTCTTGGCTCTGTAATTTATAGTGTTCATTAGTCAATATGATTAAATAGCATTCAGTGAGCCTTTAAAATATTTCTTAGTTTTAGCCTATTGTGGAAGGTCATCCTGTGTAAAGTCATTTGTGAATAATAGGTGACATCATTATTGTGTTTATTCTGTTGATACAAGCATCAGATTAAGCATTCCTATTGTGAGACAGGCCATCTCACCAAGTGCCAGTTTTCATAATATTGCCTGAACAAGATGTTATAATGATCTCATTTGAGAGAGCTGAATCTGAAATGAGAATATCACCACTTGAGAATATCACTGATGGTGATATTCTCATTTCAGATTTTTTCAAATTTCAGTTTAGAAAGTGATATTTCCCTTCATTTATTTTAACCTATTTGTATGTCATTAAATATTATTTGAAACTATGAATGATATTTTTAGTTTGCTGACCTGAGCCTATACAAAAACAAATTATAATAGACTCCTATTGACCTAACAATAGACAAAATTAAGGACTATCAGATAAAATGGCTTTTCTGATACTTTACAGACTGACTGAAACCCATTTTTAAACTAATTATAGCTTAAGTATGGAACATGACAAGATTAAGACACCATACAGATCATAATATGTTTCAGGTGGTTTTTAATAGTAAATAGGACAGATTCTGAGGTGAAGAAATAAGTAATGTTAGCTCTCTTGCATGCGTGTTAAGTTGCTTCAGTTGTGTCCAACTCTTTGCGACACCATGGATAGTAGCCTGCCAGGCTCCTCTGTCCATGGAGTTCTCCAGGAAAGAGTACTGGAGTTGGTTGCCATTCTCTCCTCCAGGGGATCTTCCCAACCCAGAGAATGAACCTGTGTCTCCTGCATTGCAGGCAGATTCTTTACCACTGGGCCACTGGGGAAGCCCATATTGGCTCTCTTAGTAAAAGCTAAATATCAAATCAAAATATGTTATTTAAATATATATTGTTTGGAAAAAACTTCAAGTTATGTACTTTCTTATGGATATATAGTAGCCAGTTGGCAGAAGGAGGATCTTATGTACCCCTAGGACATGTGGGAAAATAAAATTTGTTATGATATTTCAACCAAATTCATGACTAATCACTGATTTTTACATCCACAAACAAAGTTACAAATATCTATGTTTTGGTATTTTGATATATTATAATGATTTGTGCTTTAAGAGATAGAGAATGCACTTTTGAAAATAATTTAAAAATAATGTATTTTTCAACTGATAATTTTTTAGATTGCCATGATATTCTTACTGAAATTAAACCTAAGAGTTGCAAGAACACTTCAGGATGATTTAATCAGGTCAGTCTCATCATGGCTAAGGTTAAAAAAACAAACCCAAACCACATAACAACAACAACCACAAAATTTCCCAAAATTATCTGAGGATTTAACAGATTTTTGATATTCATTCTAGATTTAGTAGTCCAGGGGAATAGGCTGACAACCTATATTAAAAAATAAATACATAAAGAAATGAAATTACCCCGAGTGGTTTTCTTTTTTTATTTGTTTTTTTAAATTAATTTTTATTGGCATATATAGTTGCTTTACAGTGTACTAGTTTCTACTGAACAGCAAAATGTATCAGCCATACATATACACATATCCTCCCTTTTGGATTTCCCACTTAGGTCACCTTAGTGCCTTAAGTAGAGTTCCTGCACTACACAGTGCGTTCTCATTAGTTATTTATTTCTACATAGTATCAGTATGTGTCAATAGGATATGTGTCAATCCCAGTCTCCTAATTCATCCCATCTCCCTTTTCCCCCTTGGTATCCGTATATTTGTTCTGTACTTCTGTCATGATATTCTTACTGAAATTAAACCTAAGAGTTGCAAGAACATTTTCTGTCAATTTCTGTCCAAGTGTGGTTTGAAAACTAATGATATATTTTCTCTACTACACTGTAAGAATATGGAAATGACAAGGAAAACTATGTTATTCCCGAGGGACATTCTCTGACAGTAGCAGTTTTCCTGAGATTTATATTCCCTTAGCTTCTGATGATGCCCACGTCATACTTTTTTGTCTGTCCTTCTAGATTAAGAGTTTAAGAATGTAGAACTCCAAGATCTAGCATGCTGATGCCCTATTCATTCCATCAGGCTAGAATGGTCTTGAGTATTTGCTTTATTTTAAATGACAAATAGAAACTATTTGAAATAATCCAGAAGAATTAACAGAGGTTTTTCATATCTTACAGTCCACAGCAAAAACTCTATATTAGATGTGTATCTCCCAAAGTCATTTCTCTTACATATCATAACTGGAAATTTTTATCTTACTCTTTTCCCTAAATACATTAGAATGTGTATTAACAGATTTTTCAATAAGAAAAAAATGATATGTAGGGAATATCATGAATTTTAGTCATCTAGGTTATCCTGAAGTACTCCAAGAACATCATCGTATTTAAAATTCTAAAAACATATCCTTTGGATGTAGTAATAAAACTTGCCTATATTTAAGAATTTTGCTGTTTTAGTCACTAAGTCATGTCCAACTCTTTGCGACCCCATGGACTATAGACCACCAGGCTCCTCTGTCCATGGGACTTCCCAGGCAAGAATGCTGGAGCCAGTTGCCACTTCCTTCTCCAGAAAATCTTCCCAACCCAGGGATTGAACCTGTGTCTCCTGCAGTGCAGGTAGATTCTTTACCTCTGAGCCATGAGGGAAGCCATATTCAAGTATAACAATACTTAAATAGTGAATTGGAGAAGGAAATGGCAACTCATTCCAGTATTCTTGCCTGGAGAATCCCATGGGCAGAGGAGCCTGCTGGGCTACAATCTGTGGGGTCGCAAAGAGTCAGACACGACTGAGCGACTAGGCACAAATAGTGAATAAAACGTGCTATACAGTTTTCTAAGCTCTTTGCAAGTATTCTCATACTGTTAATAACAGTAGGTAGGTACTATTATTAACTTGAGAGGAGGGCCTGAGAGTAGGGCCTAACAGTAGTGCTGAGGAAAATTCTTTCAGAAAGTTTAATAGGAAACAGATCATGTAGCAAATTAGGGAAAGAACAGAGTTTTAACTTGCTGTTTGAATCCTTTTCTTGCATACCATTACTAATCCCCCAAGTGTCTGAGTTGTACACATATGGCTTTCTAGAGTGAACTCGAGGTTTTTCAGCCTCCAAACAGCCACATATAGCTGGCCATGTATAACTGTGTCCTGACAATGAGACAGAAGAGGAAACAACCTGTGATAGTTTTTGACTGACTTTCTTAAAAGATAGCTAGTATGTATGTTTGGTGTTTTTCTCCTCATTTTTTTCAAGGTGATGCTGGGAATAGAAATTAATAGCTGGAATTCTATATTGGATCATAATAAGTTCTAAACCATGAGCTTTACCTGGTAAGGCCAGTCTTAAAATACTTTGGATACTTTATACTAACTCTCAATTGCTTAATCCCCAATATGTCACGAAAGAGAAATTTAACCTATGTCTTGTTTCAGTCACTATTTTCAGCTCTGTATTATTTATAGCTGAATGGAATCCTTACTGACAGATTGATTAAGTTATATTAAGTAATACGAAATTAAAGTATTTGAGAACATTGGGTATATATGTTTATATTTACTGTATTAAAATTAAAAGGAAGGAATTAAAAAGCATGTATTAGCTAATTTTAAATGATTGTAATAAAACATTACATGTTAATATGCTTAATGAAGGACAATTATATTTTCCAAAGCAAAAATGTAAAGAGAAAAGTGACAGTTTTTAATGTCAGGTTTAATAAAAGAGACATTGAATGGATTCTTATATCTGCTGTTTGAATTTAACTTATTGCCATGTGATTTACTGGTTAAAGTATATAAACAAAATCTAGCCTCACAGAAATAAAAATGCATTTGGAAAAGAGAGGCGTATCAATATTTTTGGATAATTATGGATATTTTTGTCAAGTACTTTTTCAAAACTCAACAAATAGTAGTTTCTTAAATGTTAGCTGCAGTCAATGAACTGAAAGCATATCAATAATAATTTTATCCTGTTACATTTAAAATTTATTGGCATATCTTACATTTTGGATGACTATTTTACCACTTTGGAAAATTACTAAGTAATGAAAAGCTTCCACATTTGATACATTTTAATAAAAAGAAAAGAAAAAAATTTTAAAAAGTCACAGCCAATCTCATCAGGAAAGACATTGTGTTAGAAAATGTGGTGGTTCCAAATTTTCCAAAAGTCTAATATTTGAAAGCTTAAATGTTATCATTAACAAAAGTAACTGTCAGTTGCTGTCATGATAGGCTTTGTTCATTTTAAAAGAAAATACCCTCCAGATAACTAGAACTGAATAACTATTGTTGGTTGTTCTTTCTATTAAAAATTGAATTCTGCAAAAGTAGCTAGTTTAGTTCCTGTTTAAGACAACCTCCATATCTCAGTGTTCACCAAAAATGCTTTCCATGATCTCCCCATTTTATCACTCCTAATAATAAAAGAGATGCGTACTGAAGTGTAACAGAACACAGTGAGCTCAGCCTTCAGCACAGGGGTCGTTGCTGCGCATCATTTCTCTGCACCCTGTTACCAGGCAGTGGGTTCTGCTCAGCCATTGGGCAGCGCAGCAGTGGGCCCTGCCCACAAGCAACCAACGGTTAAGAAACCACAGTTGGTGAGGGGATTCAGACAACAGTGGAGTGGTGGTCGTGAGGTGGAGAATGAGGTAAGAGGTGGATCCTGGCCTTCCCTCCCAGGCCCTTCAGGTCACCCAGCCTTGGGCCAGCAGGTGAACTGGGGGCCCCAGAGAACAGGTTTGGGGCTGTGTCCTGCCGGGCTTCAGAGCCCTCACCAAGGTCACCCACTAGCCTCAGCCCAGGCCCCCGGGTAAATGTGAACCTCTCCCCCATTCTGGTCTCTGCAGCGGCAGTCTGCTGGCTCGCAGTCTGCGGGACCTAGTCTCCCACTTTGGGTGGCCTGAGGAGCCTGAGAGCCAGCTGGTTGGGCGCCTGACTTCTTTAGAGATGACAGCTGGGTGGGGTCTGGGGACCAGGCCCTGAGGGAGCTGTCAACTGAACTCTGTCTCCTCTTAGCCAGGACCAGGACCTTGGAGGGTGAAAGGTGTACCTTGGGACCTTGCCCTCTCTTGTCAAGTCAGAGAACAACATTCATTTGGTAGAGATTTACAGAAACATCGTTACCTGACCATGACCTGACCTCAAGAACAAAGGATCTAAACCTTTGCAACAGTTAACCTCATCCCTCCCTCCCTCCCCTTTTTTTGCTTTTAAAAGGGCTTTGATGAGAGCTTTCAGTAATTTTGGGGTTCTTAGAGCACAAGCCATCTGTTTACATGGCCCCATAATAAACCTTTCTCTCTTCCAAACTCCAGTGTTTTAGCATAGTTTGGCCTCACTGTATGTTGGGCACTTGGACTTGCGTTGTTCAGTAACACAGGGAGAAGCATGCAATAAAATTAATTCTACTGTTTCATCAGGCAGAAAGTGGCTTTCTAAAAAGTTCTGAGTGAGTTACCCCATCATGTAGAGGTCCTGGCCGAAAGAGACATCAGCTGAGGGCAAAGAGACCAAGAAATGGAAACAAGGAATTTCTGTCATCCTAATACACATACATAGCATCTATGTTATATATCTTTGTATATATTATAAATTAAGCAGCTTTATCCTTTTTTCCTCCTTGCTTTTCTCTCTTACTTTGAGATATGGCAAATTGGTGTTGGTGAACTTTATAATTTGGTACTTAGAACACAGACTATCAAGGTGAGATTATAAGTGACTTAGAAAAGGGATGAACAGTACTCAAAGAGACAACGGGCAGATGGGATATTTGATATTTCTTTTTGAGGCCACCTTCCTTCCTCATGGAACTGAAACACCAGGTCTTTTCTGTTCTCAAGCCAGTTGGATTCCCACCTGGAAGTTACCCTTTTCTACGGCTCTTCCACTTATTTTTTGGTTTTCCAGTTTGCTGACTACAGATTTTGGGGCCGCTCAGCCTCCATACTCTGGCGACCAATTCTGAGCTCTGTCATCAAGGAGCACGTGAACTGGAGAGCAGGAAGTGCAGCTTCCTGTGGGAAACCGCGGGGCCAAGCTCTGAGGAGAGCTGCTGTGTCACTTCCGCTCTGAAGGTAGGCCTGCCTCAAAAATAAAAAACGTTCAGGTATTCCACTTCTTGTCTCGGTCTCAAGAGTACCATTCATTTCTTTTCTGGTTCACTCATATTTGTATCACCTCTTGGTTCTGTTTCTCAGGAAGACCCAGCTGTATGATTATGGTCCATGAGTTTCAGACTCAAGCTTAGAGTCTCTTTCTCTAGCCCTTAGTGTGAATTTTGTAATCAACCAATTCCCAGTATTAAATCTTCCTTTTTAATGTAGTGGAGGAGTTTTTCTATTTTGCAGTGGAAGCCAGGCTGATGCAAATAAATTATTTTAACATCACTATAAATTATAATTACTTCTTTGTGATTGTTTCCAGTAAACATAATTTTATGTTGCTTGTTACCTTAGTCAAATAATTACTTGAACTCTCAGTAGGAATAATTCTTTTAAAAATGATGAAATTATTTCAACTTATCAGAAAATGTATACATCTCCTATATTTCCATTAAATATTTACATTTTACCACATTGTTCATTTCTCTACTCACTGATTTTTAATATATATGACAAACCAATTTGCAATTGTTATTTGTATTGACTTGTAAGAATCTTTTACTTATTGTTTAAAATATTTTGTATTTTCTAAACTTTCTTCTTAGCTTTTAGAATTTTTATAGTGGAATTTTATATGTAGAAATTCATGTAAGCTACATTTAATGGCAGTTTTTATGTTTGTTTTTCAGTTCCATAGTTTTTAATTCTCAATCTAATTTTTCTGGGTCTTTAAATAAAAAGTTAATATAAGTAGTGACATTCACTTTGCTGAACAGCTGAAACTAATAGATTGTAAATAAACTATACCTCAATAACAATTTAAAAGTTAATGTAAGTGGTGACAAAGAACAATACTGATTTATTCCCAGTTTCACTGTGAACTTCAAAAAGTTCATTTTAAAGAATGTTCAATTATTAATTTTTCAATGATATTTATTATTAGGTTAGGAAAGCTTGCTTTTATTCCTACCTGACTATGAAATACTTTTCATTGTCAACAGAGTTTAAATGTTATTTAATATTTTTCTGTATGTGCTGTGATGAACATGTTTTATTTTTTTTAATATCCAGTAAGAAATTACATAAACTATCCTTGCCTTTAAAAAAATAAACCCTACTTTGTGAAAATGTTATTTTCTTCCTTCTGCTTAAGATGTTATTTCCTCATTTTTGCTGAATTTGATATACTTGTTATTTGTTATTTTTGTTCAATCTCTGTACATGAAGTCAGTATTTCTTTCTTGTATTGTTTTTGTCCAGATTTTTACTAGATGCGTAATATTGGTTAAATACCTTATCCTTTAGTTTTATCCTATAAAGTAATTTCTGCTTGTGAATAATTGAGATCTGTTCCTTAAGGCTTAACACTCAGCAGTTTACCTTTGAGGACTGCTGTCTTTGGGTAAAATGTAGGGAAAATAATACACTTGTTATTAATTTCATTTTGTCAATCAGATGTTTACCTTTTATAAATTGATATTATTCATTTATATTTTTACTTAAAATGACGCATCCCACCCAAGTTTCTTAATAATTTTTTCATATGTTTAAATATCTGCTATCGTGACTCAGAGGGTAAAGAATCTGCCTGAAATGCAGGAAATCCAGGTTTGATCTCTGGGTCAGGAAGATCCCCTGAAGTAAATGGCTACCCACTCCCGTATTCTTGCCTGGGAAATCCAATGGACAGAGTAGTGTGGCAGGCTACAGTCCATGGGGTCCCAAGAGTCGGACATGACTGAGCAACTAACACTTTCAACTTTCTTTCATTGTTTCAAATAGTGGAGGTTTTGGTGTCCAGCATTTGAAAGTGGACTGCCAGCTTTATGAATCTAATAGCAACAAACATAATGGCAGTTCCCCAGAAATGTAACGATGAGACCAAAGAAGGGCACAGCTAAGAAAATTCCTCTTGGGATCAGAGTCATCAGCGTGTGTCTAGAAGGCTATGCACATGTGCTAAGGAGTAACTACCCACCTGGAACAATGAGAGTATGGTATGGGCAGACTTGAAATTTCCAGGCCACAAAGAAATTTATTAAAAAAGGGCAAGACTCTCATTGGCTATTGGGAGTCAAGCACATTTCGACCAAATACTAGCTGTAGAAAAGGCCACTCTGAATATCAGTCAAGGCATAGAATAAAAATGAATATTTAAGACCAAATGGAGAATCTTAAACTGAAGTAGAATAGCCAAAATTAAAAATGAAATTAAATTCCCTTTTAACAGTAGAAATCAAAGGGAAGAGATAGTATTCTTGGAATCTTTGAGGTAGGTCCCATGGGTCTAGTATGTGATCCCTGAGGAGAGGGTTAGCTCAGCTAGTACGGGAAACTCAGAGATTTGGTGAAGATTTAGACCTGGGGTTGAAAATAGTGAGGCTACAATGCTTGGCAGCAGTGCCAGTGTGTCTGAGACTTATGGTCTTGTTGGTTCTGAGTGTAACCAAATACATATATAGCAGAAATTATGGTTGATGCTAAGACGAAAGCTGTTAATGAGACAATTCTGACATGAATACAAATCAAATTTTCCCCAGGTTTCAAATCTTTCTCTAGTTCCTGCCATTGACAGAAAGGAATAGGAGAGGATTGGCATATAAGACATGTAATTTGTAGGTTACCAGTCCTTGTGTGACAAGCCCAGAGTACAAAGAGGAAGGGCGTGTGGGACAGAGGAAAGGTAAATCAGACACACACACAAACACCATCCACAGACTGTCTTTGCTCAAAACACACAGAGAGAGTAATTCCATAAAAACTGACCGCTTAAAATTGCTTAAAATAACAGACAGTAGAAATAGGCTAGGGATTAGTAAATTTTGTGTTTACTGGTTGTTTATGGTCCCAAATGATTAGAAAAAGTTGGAATTTTCTGCCAATGATCTAGGACAAATGTTTTAACATTATTACTTCCAGGAGATTACAACTTAATACTTGGGAAAGATCATTAGGCTTTGGTAGTCTCTTGAAACAGGAGCTATTGGTTTTTCCTTCTTTGTTGTTTTTTCAGTAGCCACATTCTGTGTTTCTTCCTTAGGTAAAGTTAGAATATTCTGTGCTCACATCCTAAGTGAAGCCATAACATATTTCTAATTTTTCTCAGTTTTTAGGTGGAACAGGTTCCTCTGCTTTAGCATCTTTTTTTTTTGGTTTCATGAAAAGCAAAAGGAAAAGCAACAGACATAGTAGTGGAAACAAAAAAGGAATCAGCAAATATGGCAGCGGACTCCTCTTTTCCACCTTCTCTTCTGTCTTGGGGGCAGGGGGCGGGCCGCTGTCCACACTGCCCCCTCTACCTTTCTTCTGGCAGTTGGGGGGGTCCCACTCGGAGTTGCAGTGGCAGTGCTGTCTGTTGTTGCAGACCCCCCTCAAAGAGCAGAGCTGCGGTGAGCAGGAACGTGGAACAGTGGAAAAAGAGACACACCTCCTTCTGACGCAGATGTCTGTGGGCCCACACTTTGTACCATCTTTCACGTCGCCAATATCAGGTGTTCTTATCCCGAGGTGGTAGTCCGTACCCCAGCAAGTGTCATTATTGAACTTAGTCCAATGCAGAGTAGTATGATCTTTCATTAGGGGAATTTCTTTCACATTCTCACACTGAATCCTCCCACACAGGCTGTCTGACATGCTGCATTTTATGTATGAGGTAGCTGTGATACCACAGTTACCAAAACGGTCCCCTCGGGTATTCATTGCCCTGTAGCAGCTCACGTTTGCATTCTTGGCCTCTTTGCCAAAGATCTCCCTACACTGTTCATTGCGGTCATTGCATCTCTTTTCATAGCAGTAACCACCGCCTGTGCAGGAGGTCCCATCCTGCATGTACACATCTTCTGGACACTGATAGGATGTCCCATTGCACCACTCTGGAAGATCACATTCATTTTCTACTTTCCTACATATGGTGCCTGATGGCCTGAAGAGGCAGTTAAGGCAACAAAGCCCAAAAGCACAGTTGACACCAACGGTTAGAGTGCAGTTTAACTGACAACAGGGATTAGACTTACACATCTTTAAGGATCCACAGTCACACTCTTCTCCTTCTTCAAGCACACTGTTCCCACAGCGTGTCTCCCTGATGATTGCCTGTGGATCTGGTGATGTGAACAAACACTGTCTTTTTTTACCAAGGTTCCAATAAGAACCAAAGCTACAGTTGCTGAATTTAGTTGTTGATGCTACATATGGAAATAATATGCACTTTGCTGTTCCACATTTACATATTTTGGGATCATCATGCGCCATACCCAAATTATGACCCATCTCATGAGTCACAATATATGATGAAAGAAAAGTGTTATCAGCTGGGAGAGTCTCAACTCCACAGCTATAAGGAAGTAAACACACTGCTCCAACATAAGCTAAGCCAAGAGTGATACCATAATTCTTTTTTACAAAAATATGTGCCACATCATGGGGCACACGTTTCTGGAAGCCCTTTTGCTTCCATTTGCAAAAGTTACCCAAGGCACTTCCAATATTTTCTACTGCAATAAGGCTTTCTTTAGTCCATATCTCCATTCCCTTGAAAAGTACCTCAAGATCCAGTGCTTTCATAAGGTCACTTACTCCATTTAAAACAAGGAACACTTCTTTGTGCACAAGCGTATCATTACTTTCATGATAAAGATATCGAGAGTGATCTACGACCACTCCAACTTCAAGAAAATACTTGTGGGTCCACCAGCCTGTATATGCACTTTGCATCAAAGTGGGATTAATGCTTTCTTGAAACTTCAATTGTCCTGCTATTTCTTCATCTGTTAACCCACATCTAATGTATGAAAATTTTGTCTCCTCATCGTCTAGCTTATATATTAGATGCTCAAATGCAGTAGAAAACCTTTTGGGTTCAATTTCATAAACAATGTCATTTGTCTGTAACATGCCTTGAAAGCCCCCGAAGCAGTTATTGAGGGAAACCAGAGACTCTGGGTCCCCCTCCATATAACCACGGTAATAACAGTCATCCTGGACAAAAGGTTGGTCTTCCAGGAGAGCACCCTTGTCTGTGTAGGTGAACACTGGGAGGTTTTTGGACAAAAAATTCTTCTTGACCTTTATATGAATAACATGTCTCTGGCCCCCAAAATACAGTTTGTAAGAGAACCAGCCTTGAAGCTTCATGCCTCTGCCAGTGGGTGTTACCCTCAGGGGAATCACCACTTCTGGGGGGCCAAGTCTTTGGGAGTGCCCAACCTGGGGCCATCCAGGAAGGAAGAGGAATACTTTCAGCCAGAGAAGCAGGAGAGTAACCTTCATGTACATCAGGAACTCACCAAACACCTATCACGGAGCCATCATATTTAGACATTGGTAGAAAAAGAGGGCAGGACAGGATACATCAATATTCAGCCTCCCCTGTCTGAGCTGATGTATTCAATGTTAACCTTTAGTTTGTTCTCTGGCAAAGTCATGCAGTCAAAGCAGCAGCACTAAAAGACAAAAAGTAAGCAGAACAGGGGCTGGGTGGGCATTATGAGCAAACCAAGACAGAGGAAAGAGGAAGGGTACCGTTAGGATGAGCGAGAGTTTGACTTAGGACATATCTGACATGCTCTTAAGTAATGGTGACGCAGAGTGAGACTGTGAGGACACAAGAATGGCCTACGGTGACACTTGCTGAATCTAGAGGAGGGGCACATAGTGATTTGCGATACAGTTCTTTATATCTATTACTATGTGCAAACATTTCCACAATATATAACACAAAAGAGTGTTAATGGAAAGGTGAATGAATATCACATTCTGATAAAGGAGTCTTGTGTTACACGTTTGGATGTTATGATAATAAAATATAGGCCTTCCTTTTACTTACAAGTAAGAATTATTTAGTCATAATACTCAGGAGAGATATAAATATTATTCACAGATATTATTTTTTCTCATTGTTCATATAATGTATTTCCATGTGACAAGTTATTATTTGTCCTAAGTCCTCTGCATTTCTCTTCATCTAAATCTATGAAATTGCAGGAGTCCAACATTGCTAACTTTCACAACTTTGAGGATCTACTGTAATGCTACCTAATTCAATGACTAGAAGACGAAGGTGGTCTTGGCAGGGGGAATATGTTGGGTTGTTGATGGATGTTACTCAAATGTATTGACATTCTACTATACTGTTAAGAAGAACACCATTTAAAAACCTGTACCCTTATGAAAGGGAAGGAATTCAGTGTAGCTGGGAGGGTAGCAATTGAAAATGGGAATGTACTGAATGCAAAATAACCTTCAGAAGTACAAAGGAAATCAGTGGGTCCTTAAAGGGAGGAGGATAGCTTGGAGTAAGGAAACACTGTCTCAGAGTGGCAAAGACATCAGAGTCTCCACATTATAGGATTTTAAGGTAATCAGTTCCAACCTCACAATATATTATTTTATAATAAAAACCGGTAATACATATACCATATGAAAATACCATCTACAATTATCTCCATAATACAAATGTGTTATCATATATTTGTTAGCATGAAATCTGATAACATGCCTGGCTGGCAATACTGATATTCTGCTTTCTTCTTTGAATAAAGCATTTGAAAAACATGTAATGTTCATACATGATGGTATAAACTTAGAAAACATAAATGAACACACAGATCAAGATTATTAACTGGTCTAGAGCTCTAATTCAAACAGAGGCTTTAGGGGAAATAGCACATTTGGAATTTTTAAAAGTGTTTTCAATACTTTATATTTAAAATGCTTGCTTTAACTTACTTAGTGAAATATCCACTTTCTTTATCAGTTCATTAAAATAATTCTATTGTTTACAGTAAGAACCCTTGGCCTAGTTGAGAAAAAACACAGAAAAGCTGGCTCTGAAGATTCGAATTCAGGTTGATCCAGTCTACTTCCCACACTAGGTAATATAAAAGTGAAAGATGCGTGATTAAGGAAGGACCTAACATCTACTAGATCCTGTGGTCATTTCTGCTTAATTAGAACATATTTTGTTTCTGTGTTCCTTGACCTCCTTTCTCTGGAATCACTTTCCCGTCATTTGTGGGATTTTCATCTCATAAAAGGAAGACACAACATCCTATGTGCTCACCCTTCTTCACAGAAACCTCTTATTCCTCGTTAATTCTGCTAAACCTTTAAATCAAAAGGATAAGGTGACAATATGTAGGCCAGCAGAGAAGATTTCCATTCTCAGAATCTCCATGTGCCATACAGACTAGACATTTGTTAGTAATTTGCTTTGATGAACAAACCTACTTCCAGACCTCTAAACAGCTAGCCATGTCATTAAGCTGTGCTGTGCTTGGTCGTTTAGTTATGTCTGACTCTTTGTGACCCCATGGACTGTAGCCCACCTGGCCCTCTGTCTGTGGAATTCTTCAGACAAGAATACTGGAGTGGGTTGCTATGCTCTCCTTCAGGGGATCTTTCTAACCCAGGGATTGAACCCAGGTCTCCCACATTGCAGGCAAATTCTTTACTGTCTGAACCACCAGGGAAACCCCTCATTAAGTTACCATTTGCATTACACTCTTACTCTTAAACCAATCCTCAAGTCAGTCCTACATGAACCTCAAAGAACTGGGCATCTGATTTACTAAGGTATTATCCACCAGTAATTTCACTCATCTTCTGGGTACCAAGTGAGTGAACATCTAGTGTAATTTCACAGCTCATTTTCAACAATGTTTATACATTGACTTAAGGACATGACCTGTATCTTGATATCACCTTGACTGCCCTAACTCCTGCATATGATTAAACTGTTAACCACAACCTTACTCCTAATAAAAATTCACTCCTCAGATTTATAAAGGATGAAGATAACTTTTCATCATTTCCCCCCTTTTCAGTGCCCTTTATTTTATGTTTTACTATTGTAGTCTTGTTTTAGATCCTATCAATTCAACCACTGTTGAATAAAATCCTCAACCCAAACTAGTTCAGGTTTTTTCATTTGCTTTTGCACACTTAACAAAAACTGCAAAACCGCTCAGGAAGTAAATTACAGAGTATGTTTATGGTAATTAATGAGTAAAAGGCAGGCTAAACTTGTCATGAAGTACCTGGTGTGTGTGCTGTGTGCTGAGTCATGTCCAACTCTTTGCCATTCCATGGACTGTAGCCCACCAGGCTTCTCTGTCCATGGGATTTCCCAGCCAAGAATATTGGAGTGGGTTGCCATTTTCTACTCCAGGGGATCTTCCTAAACAGGGATTGAACCTGTATCCTCTTTCATCTCCTGTATTAGTAGGCAGATTCTTTACCACTGAGCCTCTGGGAAGCCAGAGATCCCTGATACTTCAGTCAAAATAATGAAATCATGAACTGATACTTTCTTCAACACTTTGTTTTTAATACATTGAGCTTTTTTGCCTGCATATAGTAGTATTGTTTAACTTGCTAATTTTCTAAATTTTCTTTTCTGCCTGGATAGAGTAATGTTGTTTCTTCACATGCTAGTTTTCTAAATTTTCTCTTTAGCACCTAGGACCCTCAGCTTAGTAATCTATTGTCTTTATTTCCACAAGTAGTTATTATTGAATTTAAAGAATGGTACTGTAAACCATAAAACTACAAGATTTTTATTTTGTGTAGGTTTAATGCAGAATTTGATACTTCTGTCCTTTATTGTTGCAGTTAGTTGGTGGGGTTTAGTTAGTTAGTTTAGTTAGTTAGTTGCAGTTTAGTTAACTAACTAAAAAGGCAGTTAACTTTTTAGATTTTTTTTTTTTCATCATTTAAGTAACCTGAGATCCTGGGGTATTAGGGTACTTTTCTTGTACTAAAGAGGAGCATATTTCACAAAATATCAAGGCTCCATAATGAAGGAAGATCATTAAATGGAATCTTTAAATGGGATCTTTTTTAGGACATCAACCTCTAAATTGTGAGTAGAATCCTCGCAATTTTCACCTCTACATTCTACGTATGGGAATATATGGATGAGAAGAAGGATGATAGTCATTATATAGTCCCTAGTCAGGGACTCTAGGGACACTGCTCATGAGGGAGTATAACACTTTCACTAGTAATGTGGCACAGTGCCGTACTAGCACACACACTTCAACCAAGACTGCCACATGTTATATCAGAGATTCCTTTTTTCATCTTTTCCACGGCTTCATCAAATTGAGTCATCTCGGTATCATAATTATCACCTGCCTCCTCACTTGCATTTACAGCCCAATTCAGTATTTTCCAAATTGAAAAAATGCATTATTACACTATTTTTTAACTCTCAGTCAAGTAGAATAGAGCAGAATAGGACATAATAAAGGTCATAGAAAGCCCTCTAGTTTTGAAAAATTCACAAAGAATCATGCTGTGTTTCTATGGATGTGTGTTTGTGAATTCACACATGCACAAATTCTAGCACTTTTCCCTTCACAGTTAAATTCTTGAAAGACTTACCACAGGTAGAATTAATGGTTACCATGGTATTTGCTAGTTATAACTTTGTGATAGTTTGTGCCACCAAGGTCTGTGAACAAAGATTTTTTAAGGTGAAACATTACATGACAAAGAGCAATAAAAATCTCCCCCCTTTCATCTCTTCATTGTTTATGTTCCAGATTGAAGCGCTTAGCAACAAGGCTTCTCCAGTTCTAAAGAGCATGGCAATTGGATAAAGGTCTTCCACACTCAGGCTTTGCCTTTTCCATCGTACTCTAATTGCTCCTCAATGTGAATAAACCTGACTATAGTCCTTATTCCCATCCCATGTATTCCCCGCACGTAGTATAAGTGTCTAGTGTTTTTTATTCATACTTTAGTGTTTTTATTCACACTGTTTCCCTCATCCCAGATTATTTCCTTAGCACAGAACCTCATAATGAACAGTTGAATTGCTTCGAGTTCCAGAATAAGTTTGATCTGGTTTAAACCATTGTTCAAGGATTGAGGCATCAGTAACCATCCATGACTTTCACTCTAAGGTCAAGGATAACTCAGAGACATTTCACATCTGTAAATAAGTGTGCCTCATCCATTAGGAAGAACTGTTGTCAGTAAAGAAGTGGCAAAAAGAGATTACAAAGAAGACAGATGAAGAAAGTATAGTGTGGGTGGTGATGCTAGCATCATGGTGGGATAAGTTGTTCCTATATTCTCTCCCCTTCATTTTACAGTTAATTTGACACCCTTGTATTAATAAGACTACTTGATACCAGGAGGGATTTGGGGAAACAGTCGTCATTTGTGCATCAGAAAATAAACAAGAACTTGTTAAGGCCTTGAATTCCTTGGAATTGGATGAATAGTACCCACGGGGCTTCCCAGGAGGCTCAGTGGTGAAGAACCCGCCTGCCATTGCAGGAGATTTAAATTTGATCCGGGGGTCAGAAGATACCCTGGAGGGGGAAATGGCAACCCATGCCAGTATTCTTGCTGGAAAATCCCATGGACAGAGGAGAGTGGTGGGCTACGGTACATGGGTTCATAAAGAATCAGACATGACTAAACTACTGACCACACACACACATGGTCTTTTCTAGCTTTAGCCCTATCATTGGAGAAGGCCCTGGCAACCCACTCTAGTACTCTTGCCTGGAAAATCCCGTGGACGGAGGAGCCTGGTAGACTGCAGTTCATGGGGTCGCTAAGAGTCGGACACTACCGAGCAACTTCACTTTCACGCATTGGAGAAGGAAATGGCAACCCACTCCAGTGTTCTTGCCTGGAGACTCCCAGGGATGGGGGAGCCTGGTGGGCTGCCTTCTATGGGGTCACACAGAGTCGGACACAACTGAAGCGACTTAGCAGCAGCAGCCCTATCATACAGAGTAACCAACTGATCTCTGAGCAAAGATTTTTATTTGAGATCTTACATGACATAAGAGAATAAAAAGCACCTCTTTTTTATTTGATTATTTTCTAGGTTTAACTGCTGCATTTAAGACTGTACCCATTTTATATCCATATCAACCGAATAATGGTTCTCCTCATTCTGGACCCGGGAAGAGCCTTGTGACTATTGCACTGGGACATGAACAGCCAAGACCTTGGAAAGGCTGCATATGTTCTTCTAGGTGTGGCCGATAGAACAAGAGACTTAATAAATAAAGCAACTGTGCAATCACCAAAAATGTCAATAAATCTCTAACAACTGAGCCCAGAGCCATGAATCCTGAAAAAGAGGTGCTTAAGAATTGAAAATAGGTATACTGAAGAAAGTCAGTGAACTATAAGAAATCCTAGAAAGGCAATTCAATTAGATTAGGAACATATAAATGAACTAAATGAGTTCTTTACCAAAACCAAAACAAAACAAAAAACAAAACAAATGAGAAAGGCTAACAAAGAACAAAACAAATTCTGGAGCTGAAGAACATGATGAGTGAGGTGAAGAATATAATATAGATATTATAGTTATATATCTATATAGATATAGATAAAGAAAATAACTGTAGTAGAGTAGAAAAGATGGAAGACAGAATAAATGACTTAGAGGATAGGGATTTTGAAACAAGTTACAAAAGAACAAAAAGTGAGAAGTTAAAATGAATGAAAAAAACCCTGCATTATCTATGGGACTCCATTGAAATGGTGCATATCTAAATAATTGTGTAACGGTGAAGAGAGAAGGGGAGTTGATAGAAAATTTAGTTAAATTAGTAATAGCAGAAATCTTCCCACACCTGTACATACTAGGAGATCTTAGTTCAAGAAACTAATATATTACACTATTATCTCAATGAAAAAGATATTCTTTGAGACATATTATACTGAAACTATCAAAGGCAGGTAATTCTGATTGCAGTCTGGGTAAGGAGGGGATATTTAGATTGTAACATACAAATTATCTCTATTAAGCTATCACTGGATTTCATAATGGAAATCCTACTGGTCAGGAGAAACTACAGTGGCATATTTAAAGGATTAAAAGAGTGCCTGTTAAGAATACTATATCATTCAAAGTTATTATTTATATTTGAAAGATAAATGCTTTCCCCAACAAACAAAAACTAAGGGAGTTTATCACCAGTAGACCTGCCTTGCAGGGAATATTGAAAGGAGTTCTTCAAACTAATATGAAAAAAACTAATCACCTATATGGAACATAAAGTACACAACATCCTGTTAAATGTGAAAAATTAGTTAGATTCAGAAATTTCTAATTGTATAATAGAATGGAGTATTAACTACTTAACAGTAGTATAGAGGTTGAATAAAAATTATGAAAAATTACTATAACTACTCTGATTTGTTAATAAATACACATCATTAAGAGATAGCAATTGTGACATCAAACATATAAAGAGTGACTCTATAGGCAAATGAAGATAATTTGTTATCATCATAGGATGGACAGTTTCAACTATGAGATATTTTCAATAACCCTCAGGGTAATTACAAAGCAAAAATCTGGAGTATAGTCTAGAAACCGAAAAAAGAAATAGGGCACACTACTGTGGAAAGTTATCAATTTATAAAGATAGGCAGAAACAGAGGAAAAAAGAAACTGGAAATATAAAACATGGAAAACCTTTACATATCAATAAGCACTCTAATAGATGAAAGTATTCTCAAGAAAGTGTTAGGAAATGAACTGAGGAACACAGTAAAATGTTCATACACCGTGACCAATTGCCTTTTTCTGCTTGATGCAAAGATGTTTTTATGTACACAAATCAATATATGGGACACATTAATAGAATGAACAAAAACTCACATGGTCATCTCAATAGATGCATAAAACCATTTGATAAAATATCATGCCCTTTCGTGACAAAGATCCTCCACAGAATATAGAAGAAAACACACCTCACATAGTAAATGTCTTATATGACAACCCCACAACCACCATTATTCTCAGTTGTTCAAAACTGAAATCTTTTTGTCAAGATCAAGAAGATGAGAATGTCTCCTCTTAGCATTCTTATTTAATATGGTACTGGAAGTTTTAGCCTGGGCAGTTAGGCATGATAAAGAAATAAAAGGCATGTAAATGAAAAGAAGATTGTAAATTTGTCTTTATTTGCACATGACACAATTTTGTATGTGTATATATGTGTGTGTGTATGTATGTGTCAGAGAAGGCAATAGCAACCCACTCTGGTACTCTTGCCTGGAAAATCCCATGGACAGAGGAGCCTGGTAGGCTGCAGTCCATGGGGTCGCCAAGGATCAGACACAATTGAGCGATTTCACTTTCACTTTTCACTTTCATGCATTGGAGAAGGAAATGGCAACCCACTTCAGTGTTCTTGCCTGGAGAATCCCAGGGATGGGGGAGCCGGGCAGGCTGCCATTCATGGGGTCGCACAGAGTCGGACATGACTGAAGCGACTTAGAAGCAGCAGCAGCATGTTTGCGTGCCCTAAGTTGCTTTAGAGTCTGACTCTTTGTGACTCTATGGACTGTAGCCAGCCAGGCCCCTCTGTCTATGGATTCTTCAGGCAAGAATATTGGAGTGGTTGCCATACCCTCCCAGAGGATCTTCCCAACCCAAGGATCAAACCTGTGTCTCTTATGTCTCCTGCATAGGCAGGTGGGTTCTTTACTGCTAGCACCACCTGGGTAGCCCAAAGCTAGAGGTAGTGACAGAATTCCAGCTGAGTTATTTAAAATCATAAAAGATGATGCTGTTAAAGTGCTGCACTCAATATGTCAGCAAATTAGAAAAACTCAGCAGTGGCCATAGAACAGGAAAAGGTCAGTTTTCATTCCAGTCTTAAAGAAGGGCAATGCCAAAGAATGTTCAAACTACTGTACAGTTGCACTCATTTCACATCCTAGGCAAGGTAATGCTCAAAACCCTTCAATCTAGGCTTCAGCAGTACGTGAACCAAGAACTTCCAGATGTACAAGCTGGGTTTCCAAGAGGCAGAGGAACCAGTGATCAAATTGCCAACATTTGTAGAATCATAGATAAAGCAAGAGAGTTCCAGAAACACAACTCTTTTACTTCATTGACTTCACCAAAGTCTTTGACTTTGTGGATCACAACAAACTGTGGAAAATGCCTAAAGAGATGAGAGTACCAGACCACCTTACCTGTCTCTTGAGACAGGTATTTGGGTCAAGAAGAAACAGTTAGAACCGGACATGGAACAATAGCCTGTTCAAAATTTGGAAAGGAGTATGACAAGGCTGTGTATCATCACCCTGCTTATTTAACTTTCATGCAGAGTACATCATGTGAGATGCCAGGCTGGATGAATCACAAGCTGGAATCAAGATTGTCAGGAGAGATATCAATAACCTCAGATATGCAAATGATACCACTCTAATGGCAAAAAGTGAAGAGGAACTAAAGAGCCTCTTGATGAGGAGAGTGAAAAAGCTTGCTTGAAGCTGAACATTAAAAAAAACTAAGATCATGGTATCCGGTCCCATCACCTCTTGGCAAAGCGAAGAGGAAAAAGTGAAAGTAGTGACAGATTTAATTTTCTTGGGCTCCAAAATCACTGCAGATGGTGACTTCAGCCATGAAATTTTCCCAGTAGTCATGTATGGATGTGAGAGTTGGATCATGAAAAAGACGAAGCATCGAAGAATTGATGCTTTTGAATAATGGTGCTGGAGAAGATTCTTGAGAGTCCCTTAGACTGCACGGAGATCAAACTGATCAATTCTAAAGGAAATCAACTCTGAATATTCATGGGGAGAACAGATGCTGAAGCTGAAGCTTCAGTACTTTGGCCATCTGATGCGAAGAGTCGACTCATTGGAAAAGACCCTCATGCTGGGAAGGATTGAGAGCAGGAGAAATGGATGGCAGAGGATGAGATGGTTGGATAGCATCACTGATTCAATGGACCCAAATCTGAGTAAACTTCAGGAGGTCGTGGAGGACAGAAGAGCCTGGCATGCTGCAGTTCATGGTGTCGCAGAGTTGGCCAGAACTTAGTGACTGAATAACAACAACAACCACTCATTCTGTTATCCATTCTTTATACAATTTTTAAAAAAATTCAATAATTGAATTATCCATGTCTGATTGCATAGTTTTTATATCTTCTTGTTCATTGTTAAAACAAGCACTGCTTACATCAATTATTTTTCTTAATTCAGTTAACATTTTTACCACCAATATTTTGAATTCTTTACCTGATAAATTGTTGATTTCTGTTTCATTATTTTCAGTGGTTCCTTTTTTTCCATTGAGAGTAGTTTCTCTGCCTTTTCACTTTGCTTAACTTGCTCTGCCTCTAATAATTTAGGTAAAACAGTTCTCTTTTGAGGTTCTTACACGTGAGCTTCCATATATGGGCTGTGTGTGTCCAGTACCTTTGATGATAGTACAGACTTGATGTAGATACATGTCTTTCCTGGTTACTACAGACTTGGCAGGTGATGGGGCTGCATATGAAGGGGCTAGAGCCAGTGCCGTGTGTGAGGCAAGACTTCATCTCTGCCTAGTGGCCATCAACACCCTGACAGGGGTGGGAGTCTGATCCCAAGTTGCAGGAGCAGAAGCCCTGAGAGCCAGAATTGATCTGGCTCTGTTCCCATTAAGTGTGTGTTTTTCCCTCCCTCTGCATTGCCCCAGGACCTTTGCCTACAAGGAAGAGGGTGTTGAAGCAAGTAGGACCCATGAACAGATGGAGGTCCAGTGTATTGATTGTGTAAGCATCTGTGTCTCTGTTCCGATGCAGCCATGATTGCAAGTCCCCTTGGTCTCTCACAGCCGAGAACTGCACCCCTGTCTCTAGCTCTGCCCCTTGCTCCAAAACTGTTGTGGAACTGCTCTGCGGGGTTGGCAGGCGTCTCTATGGACTCTCAGCATGAATAGGGACGTTAGCTGTGGTGGAGACATGGGAAACAATGATTATTATTTAGAGGCCCCTCAATGTCTAACTTGTGAATCTAGCCCTGGCTAGTAACTAAGAGCACTGGGTACTTCTTCCTTCAGCAGATATCCTTTCACTGGACCAGACCTAATGCTTAAATCACATACAGTATCAGCAAGTACTCAGGGGAAAACATAGCTAGCAAGTGTCCAAATTTTCAGAAATTCTTTTTGATGCCTGGTTTTTGTTTTTTTATTCTATGTTGTTGCTTCAGCTCTCTGATGTCCTTAAATTTGGTTCTTAAAATATAGTTGGCATTATCTAGGGTTTTTCTAGAGGAAAGATGGTTGCTATGACTTACATATCCCAAAGAGAATTATAAGCATGTTCTTCACCCATTTTAGAAATAAAAGTTATGAAGTTTGAGTGGCACATATAATTTTCCTCTTTTTTCTGATTTTAAAGTTATTCTAACTTTAAATTATGTCCGCAAGATGGTAAGCATCATAGTGTGAATATTTCAAATCTTCTGATGTCAGACTCCTTTCTGTGTTCCCCGTTATGCCACATACTGTATCACTCAGAGTTCAGTCACAAGAGAGGAATGCACACCACGGGGATAGCAATGAGTTATGAAGAAGATGTAGCTGTTACTGCTTGGGCTGGGGCTTGAAGGGAAGAGGCATTATTAATAAACCTACATGTTTTGAATAGGTCCCATGGATCTAAGGCTCACTCTAGGACTCAGATATTTGGTAACTCAAGGACCTGGGACTGAAAACTGAGCAAGGTAAGATGCTTGGTGGCCATGCCAGTATCTCTGAGGCTGAAAAGTAATGTCTACTAAGGAATTACTAATATATAAATATAATGTAATGTACAATTACATATAGATATGAAAACTCAGTATATGTATGTTTGAGTATATAGTAATAAAACACAGACTGAAATTTACCTTCCTGTAAAGAAAGAGCTGTTAAAGAACAGCAGTGAAAAATTCCCCAGGTCTCCAGTCTGTCCACTCTCCCTCTAGTTCTGTTAGCAGAAATGAATAATAAGAGGACTGGCAAAGAAGAAATGAGATTCGTAGGTTCCCATTCACTGCGTGACAAAGCAGAGTACAAAGGGGAAGGATGTTTAGAGTTAAGAGATAGCAAATTAAAAGTACACATACATACACACTGTGTGAGCTGTGCTTTTGCTCAGGAAACACATGAATAATTTTATGAAAAATTAACCATTAAATTGCTTAAAATAACAAAGTGTTCTGGGAATTAGCATATTTTTACTCATTATTTAATTGATAATATTTATGATCCAGAATAATGAAATATCTCGGGTTTTCTGTCTGTGATTGCTGACACATGCTGTAACATGTCTACTAAACTAAAAACAAAAAAGTGAGAAATTTCAAAGATTTTGAATTTGTTTTTTGAAATCACAAATCTAGGCTTTTCTTTCTAAGATGAAGTTGGAACTTTTCTGCTTTTTCCTCAGGTGAAATCAGAATATTTGGTACTTTTTCCTTAAGTATTGTCTCAACACATTTTCCTTCTTACTGAAGTTCAGCTGGAGAACTTTTTTCTTCTTGCCCAATTAATTCTTTTAGTCTCTTGAACAGCCAAATTAAAAAACAAAATAATATAAAAAACAAAGGAATCAAGCGAAATAGCAGCAGGTACCGGTAGTCTGGCTCTCCACCTCTGCCTGGCGGAGGGCCACTGTCCACGCTGCCTCCAGCACCTTTGACCTTGCAGTGGGGAGGGTCCCACCCGGAGTTGCAGTGGCAGTGATGTCTGTTGTTGCAGACTCCATTCATATTGCATGTCTCAGGCGAACAACCACTTTGGAAACTGGGCATAGACGTACACTTCCTTTCGAGGCACATATGATTCGCGCCACACTCTGTACCATCTTTCACTTCACCAATATCAGGTATGGTCATCCCCAGATGGTAGTCTGTACCCCAGCAGCTGACTCCATTTATTCGAGTCCAGTGCACAGTAGAATGATCTCTCAGGAAGGGGATTTCTGTCACATTCTCACACTGAACCCTCCCACACAGAATATCTGTGATTCCACATTGTACATATGAACTGTTTGTCAGACCACAGTTACCAAAACGGTCACCTCGGGTATTCATTGCCCTGTAGCAATTCTCATTTGCATTCTTGGCCTCTTTGCCAAAAATTTTCCTACACTGTTCATTGCGGTCATTGCATCTCTTTTCATAGCAGTAACCACCGCCTGTGCAGGAGGTCCCATCCTGCATGTACACATCTCCTGGACACTGATAGGATGTCCCATTGCACCACTCTGGAAGATCACATTCATTTTCTTCTTTCCTACACATGGAGCCTGATGGCATGAATGTGCAGTTCTCACAGCAAAGCCCGAAAGCACAAGTAGCCCCAGCTCTCAGAGTGCAGTCTAACTGACAGCAGGGGTCTTTTGCACACATATATGTGGAACCACAGTCACACTCTTCTCCTTCTTCAACCACACTGTTGCCGCAGCGTTTCTGCCTGAAGATATCCTCTGGATTTGGTGAAATGTGCATGCACCTCACTTTTCCAACAACGCCCCAGTATGAAGCATAACTGCAGTTGCTGAATCGAGTTGCCACAGCTTTACTTGGAAACATTATGCATGATTTACCTCCACATTTACATGTTTTATCATCATGTCGCATACCCAGATTGTGACCAATCTCATGTGATACAATATATGCAAACTCTTGCACTTTGTCATTCAGAAAGCTATCAACCCCACAGTTATAAAGTTGATTACATACAGTTCCAACATAGGCTAAGCCAAGATGGCGGCCATAATTTTCTTTTATGAAAACATGTGCAATATCATGTGGTAAGCGGGTATTAAAACTTTTTCTCTTCCATATGCAAAATTCGTTCAAGAGAGTACTTATGTTTGTTGATGGAAGGAGGTTGTCTTTAGACCAGATTTCGATTCCAATCAAAGCCACATTAACATCCAGTGATTGTAAAAATGTATCTATTCCATTGACAACCATGCATACTTCCAACTGCACACTTGAGGTATTACTTTGGTGATGAAGATACCGACCATGGTCTACCAACACTGCCAGTTCAAGGAAACGCCTGTGAGTCCACCAGCCAACATACCCACTTTGCTTCAAAGTATAATTAACACTCTCTTGAAGAAATTTCAGTTGTCGTGCTATTTCTTCATCTGTCAATCCACATCTCTTGGGTGGAAATTCTGTCTCATCTACCATCTTGTATAGCAGATGTTCAAATGAGGTAGAAAGACTTTTGGGCTTGATTTCATAAACAACATTATGTATCTGTAATGTTCCTTGAAAGCCCCCCAAACATGTACTGAGGGCAACCAGGGATTCTGGATCCTCTTCCATGTAACCCTGATAGTAGCAGTCATTCTGTACAAAAGGCTGGTCCTCCATTAGTGCGTGCTGGTCTGTGTAGGTGAACACTGGTAGGTGTTTAGAGAACAAAATCTTCTTGACTTTTATGTGAAGAATGTGTCTCTGGCCTCCAAAACGCAGGCTGTAAGACAGCCATCCAGGAAGCTTCATGCCACTGCCAGTGTGTGTTATCTTCAAGGGTATCACCACTTCTGGAGGATCGTGATGTTGGGAGTGCTCAATGCAGGATGATCCAGAAAGGAATAGAAACACCCTCACCCAGAGCAGCAGGAGACTGATCCTCACATACACGAGGGTCTCACCCACAGCCATTTATGATGTCATGTGCAGCCAGTGGTGAGAGCAGGCCACATCATGGTGAGCTGGTGGTACACAGCACAAACCTTTGATCTGTCTTCTGTCAGAGTCACCATGTCAGAGCCATAGCACTGAAAAAAAACAAGAGCAGAGACAGATCTGGGAGTTATGAGCAAATTAAGACAGAGGGCGATGAGAAAGGCATGGGTTAAAGTGACTAAAAGTTTGGCTAAAGACATGGCTCATGATACTGCATTGCATTGCTGTCAAGTAAGGTGAGGCAGAGTGAGACTGTAGGTGTCCAAAGCAGTGGTGATTGGCCTAGGGTGACACTTGTTGAACCTTGAGGAAGGACACATAGCGGTTCATTGTTCTGTTCTCTAAATATATGACACTGTGTGGACATGTCTACAGAAATAAGTAAGACAAAAAGGTCTTAATGGAAGGAGGATATATATCTTCTTTTCATTTATAAAAAATAAAGGGAATTTTTATTATCCATATTGACTGGGTATAATGATCACTTTATAGTGATTCTTTTCTATTTTCAATGATAAATTAGTCACATTACTTAGGACAGATTAAAAAAATACATATATCATTATTTTCTCTCATTCATGTAACTAATTATTACCTGTCCTACCTTCTGTTTTCCCTTTTTCTTCTCAGTTCAGTCGCTCAATTGTGTCCGACTCTTTGTGACCCCATGGACTGCAGCACTCCAGGCCTCCCTATCCATCACCAACTCCCAGAGTTTACTCAAACTCATGTCCATTGAGCCGGTGATGCCATCCAACCATCTCATCCTCTGTCATCCCCTTCTCCTCCCACCTTCAATCTTTCCCAGCATCAGGGTCTTTTCAAATGAGTCAGTTCTTCACATCAGGTGGCCAAAGTATTGGAGTTTCAGCTTCAGCATCAGTCCTTGCAATGAATATTCAGGACTGATTTCCTTTAGGCTGGACTGGTTGGATCTCCTTGCTGTCCAAGGGTCTCTCAAGAGTCTTTTCCAACACCACAGTTCAAAAGCATCAATTCTTCACTGCTCAGCTTTCTTTATAGTCCAACTCTCACATCCATACATGACTACTGGGTAAACCATAGCTTTGACTAGACTGACTTTTGTTGGCAAAGTAATGTCTCTGCTTTTTAATATGCTGTCCGGGTTGGTCATAACTTTTCTCCCAAGGAGCAAGCATCTTTTAATTTCACGGCAGCCATTACTATCTGCAGTGATTTTGGAGCCCCCAAAAATAAATTCTGTCACTGTTTCCACCGTTTCCCCATCTATTTGTCATGAAGCTATGGAACCAGATGCCGTGATCTTAGTTTTCTGAATGTTGAGATTTAAGCCAACATTTTCATTCTTCTCTTTCACTTTGATCAAGGGGCTCTTTACTTCTTCTTTGCTTTCTGCCATAAATGTGGTGTCATCTGCATATCTGAGGTAATTGATATTTCTCTCAGCAATCTTGATTCCAGATTGTGCTTCATCCAGTCCAGCATTTCTCATGATGTACTCTGCATGTAAGTTAAATAAGCAAGGTGACAATATACAGCCTTGACTTACTCCTTTCCCTATTTGGAACCAATCTGTTGTTCCATGTCCAGTTCTAACTGTTGCTTCTTGACCTGCATACAGATTTCTCAGGAGGCAGGTCAGGTGGTCTGGTGTTACCATCTTTTGAAGAATTTTCCACAGTTTGTTGTGATCCAAACAGTCAAAGGCTTTGGCATACTCAGTAAAGTAGAAGTATATGTTTTTTTTTTTAAACTCTCTTGCTTTTTAGATGATCCATTGGGTGTTGGCAATTTGATCTCTGGTTCCCCTGCCTTTTCTAAATCCAGTTTGAACATCTGGAAGTTCATGGTTCATGTACTGTTGAAGCCTGGCTTGGAGAATTTTGAGCATTACTTTGCTAGCATGTGAGATGAGTGCAATTGTGCAGCAGTTTGATTCTTTGGCATTACCTTTCTTTGGGATTGGAATGAAAACTGACCTTTTCCAGTCCTGTGACCACTGCGTAGTCTTCCAAATTTGCTGGCATATTGAGTGCAGCACTTTCATA